AGTTAACGCACTATACACTAAGATTCTGGATAATGGAAGGTCTTCACTCTTTGAACCATGTCCCAATGTCCTGCTGGTGAAGGACAGATATAGTGGTTCCCACATTCCATGTTGCAACAGAAAACTCACACACCAATCAGACCACTTGGGTGATATGGTGTTTCAACGTACAAGAGATGATGATAGAGTAGCTCTGTCCATTGAGGATGACTACTTTCTGGACATTATGAACAAAGAGTTTCAGAAAGACGAAAACAACAGTTGGGTGGCACCACTGCCATTTAAAAATCCCAGACAGCGTCTTCCTGACAATAGAATGCAAGCTATGAAGCGGCTCTCATCCCTCTTGCGCAACTTTGAGAGGAAACCACAATTGAGAGAACACTTTGTATCCTTCATGGAGAAAGTTTTTGAGAACGGTCACGCAGAGGTGGCTCCACCTCTCAAAGATGAAGAGGAAAGGTGGTATCTCCCTATATTCGGTGTATATCATCCAAAGAAACCTGGACAAATCCGGGTAGTGTTTGACTCTAGTTCCCAATACAATGGTGTCTCTCTCAACGACATGCTGTTAACAGGCCCTGATCTTAATAATTCTCTCTTGGGTGTGCTTCTTAGATTCCGCAAAGAGTCAGTAGCCATAACTGCAGACATCCAACAGATGTTTTATTGTTTTCTTGTTAAAGAAGAAGACAGAAACTTTCTGAGATTCTTATGGTTCCGGGACAATGACCCCAGTAAAGACATTGTGGAGTACCGTATGACAGTCCATGTCTTTGGGAATAGCCCATCGCCCGCCGTAGCCATCTATGGTCTCAGAAAAGCTGCCCACCAAGAAGGAAAAGAGCGGGATCCTGAAGTGCAACAGTTTGTAGAACGGGATTTCTATGTAGACGACGGGCTAAAGTCTCTTCCCACAGTAGAAGCAACAGTGAGTCTCCTGAAACGCACACAGACAGTTCTCGCAAGATCAAATGTGAGGTTGCACAAGATCGCCTCCAACAAGAGAGAAGTAATGGAGGCGTTTCCATCACAAGACTATGCAAGTGATCTAAAAGATCTTGATCTTGAAAAAGATAACCTTCCCATGCAACGCAGCCTAGGACTAAACTGGGACCTCAAACAAGACTGTTTTGTGTTTACAGTACCTGATGAAGTGAAGCCCTTTACACGTAGAGGAGTCTTGTCCACCATCAACAGTCTGTTTGACCCTTTAGGAATTGCGGCTCCAGTAACCATCCAAGGCAAATTTATTTTGCGAGATTTAACACTGGGAAGCATTGATTGGGACTCTCCACTGCCTCAGACCATGGAGGAAACATGGGTTGCATGGCGCAATTCCTTACAAGAGCTAAGACACCTTCAGATACCTAGAACCTACTCCAAGCAATCACCCTCAGTAGCTGCGTGCAGAGAGTTGTGTGTGTTTTCAGACGCATCCATCAAAGCTATCGCAGCAGTTGCTTATCTTAAGCTTTCTTACCCTGAGAGAAGCAATGACGTAAGCTTTGTGATGGGTAAAGTGAAACTTTCTCCACTTCCTGAACATACCATCCCAAGGTTAGAACTCTGTGCTGCAGTCTTGGCAGTGGAAGTAGTTGACCTCATTTCATCTGAGATGGACATGGATCTAGACGTCATCACCTTCTACACTGACAGCAAGGTGGTGTTAGGTTATATACATAATCAGACCAGACGATTTTATGTCTATGTCAACAACCGAGTCTTAAGGATAAGAAGATCCAGTCAGCCAGAACAGTGGTGTTATGTACGCTCTGACCAAAACCCAGCGGACATAGCCACAAGGTCCATTTCTGCAGCGTGCCTCGCAAACAGTCCATGGCTTATGGGTCCCAAGTTCCTTGCAGATTCTCCTAGCACTCTAGAGCAGGAAACATTCAAGCTCGTAAATCGTGCATCTGATGCAGAGATACGACCTGAAGTGACGAATATGAGCACTACTACTGTGAGCAAGAAGCTAGGATCAGAACGTTTTTCCAGGTTTTCCACTTGGCAATCACTTATCCGTTCTATTGGAAGCCTTATTCACATTGCCAATGTTTTCCATAAAACAGCAACTAATGAAACTCTATGTCCCAGAAGTTGGCACTACTGTCCAAAGGCTGGCTCAGCAGAAAACTTCTCAAAGGCTAAGACTGTCATCCTTCAGGCCGTCCAGGAAGAAACCTATGCAACAGAAATTGCATGCATTAAGAGTGGGAAAAACCTTCCTAAATCTAGTCCATTGATTTCACTGAATCCATTCATTGACAATGAAGGCCTTTTAAGAGTTGGAGGTCGCATTTCAGCCGCAAAACTGGATCAGGATGAAAAGAATCCTCTGATTGTTCCTGGAAAACACCATGTTGGAACCCTATTGGTAAAGCATTATCACCAACAAACCCAGCATCAAGGACGATTAATCACTGAAGGTGCTATCCGCGCAGCCGGTCTCTGGGTCATTGGAGGCAAGAGACTTGTAAATAATATCCTATATCACTGTGTCCTTTGTCGAAAACTCCGTGGCCACCTCCAAACTCAGAAGATGGCTTCACTTCCTGCAGACCGGGTATGTACAGATCCTCCATTTACCAACATAGGTCTAGATGTGTTTGGCCCATGGTCCATCTATACACGTCGGACAAGAGGAGGTCTCGCACATGATAAAAGATGGGCAGTAATCTTCACTTGTCTCAATGTTAGGGCAGTCCACATTGAGGTAATTGAGTCGTTGGACACCTCCAGTTTTATCAATGCCCTCAGGCGTTTCTTTGCTCTCCGAGGCCCAGTAAAAGAAATTCGTTCAGATCGAGGGACAAATTTCATCGGTGCATGCAAGGAGCTTCAGATTCCATCAAACATTGATGAGAAGAGTGTTCAAAAATACCTGGCAGAACATGGTTGCTCCTGGATATTCAATCCACCTCATGCCTCCCACATGGGTGGCTGTTGGGAAAGAATGATAGGAATGGCAAGAAAGATACTAGATTCTATGTTCCTCCAATTGGGACACATGAAAATAACTCATGAAGTGCTCACTACTTTCATGGCTGAAGTAACCGCCATCATCAATGCTAGACCACTGGTGCCGGTGTCGACTGATCCAAGTGACCCATTTCTTTTGACACCTGCTATACTCCTCACACAGAAAGTGGGTTCTCCAATTGCTCCCGCTGGTGCTTTTGGAACCAAAGACCTTTTCCAGCGTCAGTGGAGACAAGTCCAACATCTAGCAAACACATTCTGGGATAAGTGGAGAAAACAATATTTGTGCTTATTACAGACACGTAGGAAATGGCAATCTGAACAACCTAATGTTGAACCAGGCAGCATTGTGCTCCTCAAAGACAACCAAAGCAAAAGAAATGAATGGCCAATGGGAATCATTACGCAGGTCTTTCCAAGTAAAGATGGGAAAGTGCGCAAAGTGGAAATAAAAATACCTAAACGAGAAGGTACCAAGCTGTTCCTGAGGCCAGTAACCGAGACTGTTGTACTCCTTCCACCTGAATCAAAGTTAAAGTAATATATCAAGGCAATTATTGACTGGTGGCACTCAATCGTGCCAGACGGGGAGTGTTCTGTAACCGTAATGGTTAAGGTTCACAATAATAAGAATAAATGTTTAGGCTGTAGTTTGCCTCCCTCTGCTGGTTGCTTTAAGTATTACACAGCCATTATCATGTGACTAGCAAGGAAGTTAGTGTCTACCATTTGGTTGTTTGTGTCTGCCATGCGGTTGTTTCATTGCTAAGTTGGAGAGCAGTGAATCCGTTCAAATCTGCAATCATCCTTGCCCTTTGGAAGCTTCGTCGGTATGCATTATGTTTATTGTTCATAATATTTCAGTTATTAATGATTAGTTTAGTGTAATTTGTATTGTTTGTTTTCTTCTTGTTTGTAGTTTTACTCCGCCCTTATTAAAGTGAGAAAAAGGACATTCCGTGTCTGTGGAGTTAATGAGGGAGAGTTTAGCTTGCTGTTAAAAGTATACACTGGACGTATATGGAGAACAGTATACTACCATAAGGGAATTTATGTTTGTTGTAAATAAGGGTGTATTTATTCTTTTGCACAATGCTGTGAATAAATTAGGATTGTGAAGGGCAAATGCAGTAAAAATGTGAAACATTCACTTAATGCAGTGATGTCTAAACTTTACTGTATTTTTTAAATGGCTGTGCAAACAACATAGTGCTGTCTTGAGCATTTTCAGGGTGTACTTGTCACCAAAATCTGATTTTTTATTTTTTTTTTGCATTGGAAAGAATGTACAGAGTAAACTTTCATAATGAAAACATGATAAAGCCATTTGACTATCGTGTTCATAAACTATGGTGTCAGGACTTTTTGTCACCGACTCGGTCCCAGTCGTTCCCCTCGTTATCCAGCAGAGGTCACCATATATTCGCCGCCTGCCTCTGACCCATGCCTGAACATTCAAACTGTGATTACCTGCCGCCAACCCTTTAACGTAACACTATTGTGTTTGTGTGTGCTTGTGTTTATTAAACTGTGTTAAATAAATTTACTGTATATGGATCCCTCTGTGTCAGCCCCTTCGTTACACTTTTCATCTTAATGACACTGACACTTTCATTGACATCAATACTTTGTTTTGAGGAATGAGCTATGTACATGTATTTTGAGCAAGTGACACACTTTTGCATGTTATCACCTAGGTTTTGCAGTTTGCACTCACCGTTTTGAGAAATGCATTAACTGTTGTGCAAATGTAAATAGTGTTGTGAGAAATGCACTAAAGCCACTGAAAAAAAATGTAATATGAATGTGAGTTTTGAAGGATGTGTTTTGAATTCTAAAGCCTTGGCAAAATATGATGAAATGAAAACAGAAATGAAGAATCAACCTGTTATGATAGTCATAGTATTACAGTTATCGGCAAATGTTTTTTTTTCCTGTGGTTAAGTCACATTACTCATTTAGACCTAACTTCCGTCTTGAAAGACACACAGAGAACAGGCGTTTGGTTTGCTACGATGACATTTCAGCTGCTCCTGTCATTTGTTCTTCTAATAAACACAGGTACAAATTACAGTCATTTTATTATTATTATCAAGTTTTTTGATGAATTATATCTTCTCTTAATTACTGTATGTTCTCTGAAGTCAAAAGTTAAATTTTTTAATGTTCAGTTACCATTTTATATTTCAATGACATATAGATTTAATTTAATCATTATTTTGAATCCAAAAAATGATTGTTGGATTTAAAGTTGGTTGGTTGGTTGGTCCCCAATAGGAAATTTCATTTATACAGTAGCGTACACTCACGGAGACATCTGACGGTTTACATTTGGCATTTATATAAATAAACCATTTAAAAACCTAAAGTACCATGGTACCTCTACTCTAAATAAATAGCCAGCATGCTGGTCATTAACTACTAAGAGTGGAGGAATTTAAAACCTTAATTGCTTGCGGTATAAATAATAATGTTGTCTTATTTCTTACGCATCTGGGAACACAAATGTCTATGACCTGATGGTAATAATTTGAAGGTGTCTGATAAAGGATGTCTCTCATCATTGACTGTCATGATAGTCTTTTTAATACTCTTTCTTCAAAGGAACAGTTTACTCACCATTTACTCACACAAGTGGTTCTAAATGAGAATTAATTTCTTTTGTCGAACACTAAAGAAGATATTCTGAAGAATGTTGGGAAAATTTACGTACATGACCAAAAATGTTGTAAACCACTTTAGAACACATATGAAACTTCAACTATGAAACTGCAAGTTCATTTGATCTTCTTTTGTGTTCAACAGAAGTAAGAAACTAAAAACAGATTTGCAACAAGTGTGTTGTGAGTATTTGATGGCAGAATTTTCTTTTTTTTTGGGTGAACGATCATGTACATTTTTTATTTGTTGTAGCAAAATAAAAATGATTTAGTATAAGAGTTATCTTATGTGGGAAAAAAAACAGATCATGCAGCATTGTGGGATTCTATAGCAGAAATGTTGAAGTCAGAATTATTATTCCTCCTGAATTATTAGCCCCCTAGTATATTTTTCCCCAAATTCTGCTTAATAGAAGTAAAGATGTGTTCTAAACACATTTCTAAGAATAGTTTTAACAACTAATTTCTATTAACTGATTACTTTTATCTTTGTCATGATGACGGTACAGAATATTTGATGAGATATTTTTCAAGATACCAGGCATAACTAGGTTAAATAGGAAAGTTATGGTAATTAGGCAAGTCATTGTATAACAATGTTTTTTTTTTCTGTAGACAGTTGAAAAAAATAGATAGATAAATGACAAATCATAAACTAAGCCAAGTGGTAATAAGTGTTACGGTTGCATAAGAATCTATTCCAGTTTTGGTTTTACACTTAGCGTTCAGCTTAGAAAGATCATCTCTGAAAAAGGTATTGTAGCTGTTTGTTCAAATTACTTAAGTAATGTGAGCTGAAACAAAAGATTTCATGAAAAAATGTGCATTTTAATTATGTTCAATCCACTTGAATGTGTAAACTTAAAGTCTGTATAAAAACCATAATCATTTTATGCTGGGAAAACATCAATATGGATAAATTTTTTATAACTGACTGAAAACTGAGGCATATAAACAGCTTCTAAATGCAGTTTAAAGTTTACAGAATTTTTTTTTTCTTCTTAGGATTCAGTTCTGATATCTCTGTGTTTGTGCAGACAGGAGATTCAGTTCAACTGGATATACAGGCACAACTACCAGAATTTGAGGCTGTATATTGGACAAACAAAAAATCTGATTCTATAGTTAGATATCTTACTGAATCCAAAAAAGTAACATGTCACACTTCTTACAAGGACAGAGTGGACTTCAATAATGAAACCTTCTCTCTGACACTGAAGAATATGCAGAAGGCAGACAGTGGACTCTACACAGCAAAAATATTTGGAGAAACAAACAAGGATATTGTTAAGTACAACATTTATGTTATTGGTAAGTGTGTGTTGTTTAGTATCTGCAACTTTATAAACACTTACATTGTTTTTTTAACAACATTACTTATGTTCCTTTAAGAAAGTCTACATAATTAATACACTGTTATGTTGGTTTACTAAGTTATAGCATCACTGCATGCCTGTGTGATTTATCATGTGTAGAATGTAAACACTTTAATATGTGTGTTGCAGATGAAGTGGAAGCTCCAGTTCTGACTGTAAACTCAAACTGCTCCAGTTCTGAGCTTTGCAGCTTTACATGTAGTGGACAAAACACGAATATTAGCTCCATCTATAACAGTAGCAGCTGTCCTGAGGAGGAAGTGACATCAGCTGATGACCACACCCTAAGACTTAACTGCAATGCTACGTTCATCATGTGTAACTACAGCAACCCACTGAGCTGGAAAACTGATATTAAGAAAGTCCATGAACTGATAAGCAAAGTTTATCCAGGTATACAGTATAGACATACACAAACGAGAGACAGAAAATGGCCTAACAGAAATTCCTGTAAACATTTGTCTGGAAAAAAACTGAAGACATCTTTTCTTTCATCTCTAGACAAAAGAAAATCTGAAGAGTCACATGTGCTTACCATTTGGTTGATTGTTATTTTCCTGGTCATTTCCTTGGGGTTGTTTGTGGTGATTGGCAGCTGTGTTTACAAAAGAAGAAAAGGTACAGAACATTTAATCCCCATTCACCTTATGATTTATACACACGATAAAAAATTTAAACAGGATCTTAGCACTCTTTTTGTATTGCGTGCTTCTGAACAGACCAATAGTTTTTCACAGGCTGGCATAATTAAAGAAAAGACTTAAGGTCTTACAGATTTAAGAATGAAATATTAATGTGAGATAAGTGTGATTTATTAATGACCTTTAACATCATAACTAATGATGTTAAAACATTGTGTCAATGTAAAATTCAAGAAATCAACATTCAATTTGTCTTGGCGTAAAACAAAGTAACACTTGACTGACTTGAATTTCAGTTCAATTTAAACTGACATTTCTGAAGAAAAAATAACTTTTTACTCCTTACAATTATTATTTCAGCTTACAAAAAATATCCACTTTTTACATGATGTTGTCTTTCTATGTTGTGCATATAAAAAAATCTGTCATATATATTTAGTGCTTATCATTTTTGTTTATTTTTATTTCATTTATTTAACCCCAAATCAGAAAAAGTTGGGACAGTATGGAAAACCCAAATAAAAAAGAAAGTAGGGATTTCCAAATTTACTTGGACTTGTATTTCATTGCAGACAATATGAAGAGAAAATAGTTCATGTTTTTGTCTGGTCAACTTAATTTCATTCGTAAATATACATCTTTACCTATCGTTCAGACCTGACACATATTTCAAAAAAGTTGGGACAGGAGCAATTTAGGGCTTGCTCCTAAATTAAAATAAATAAACAATTAAAGTAAATTGTTAAATAAAGATGTGATTTGAAACAGGTGATGTCAACAGGTGATTGTAAATATGATTTGGTCCAAAAGCAGCAACCAAGAAAGGTCTAGCAAAGATGGGCTGAGAATCGCCAGTTTGCCAACAAATATGTGAGAAAATGATTGAAATGTTTAAAAAAAACAATGTTCCTTAAACAATGATAGGATGACATTTGGATATTTCACCTTCAACAGTGCATTAAAATAAAAAATTCAAGAAAAATTTAGGAATTTCAATGCATAAAGGACAAGGCCGCAATCCTAAGCTGAATAACTGTGACATCTGATCCCTCAGGCAGCACTGCATCAAGAATCTTCATTCATATTTAAGCAATATCACCACATGGGCTTAGGACTACTTTGGCAAACCTTTGTCAAGTACAACAATATGTAGTCACATTCACAAATGTCAGTTAAAACCAAAAGGAAGCCCCATGTTAACAGTGTCCAGAAGTGTTGTGGACTTCTCTGAGCTCAGGGGCATCTGGAATGGACCATCACACATTGGAAACGTGTACTTTTTTGGGAGAAATAGATGCTGTGTCTTGCTTTTCCAGGGACGCTCATGTATATTTCAACAAAACAATGCAAAACCACATTTTACACACATGACAAAGTCCTGCCTGCAGATGAAGAGGATACAGATACTTGACTGTCCTGTCTGCAGTCTTGACGTGTCTCCAATAAAGAATGTGTGGTGCATTTTAAAAGTGCAAAATGCAACAATGAAAACACTTTACTGTTTCCCACCTTAAGACTAGTTTGCAGGATGAATGGGACACAATTACTCCTAAAACACTTCATCAGTTTGTGTCTTCAGTTGCTAAACGTCTTTTAAGTGTTGTGAAAAGGAATGGCATCATTACAAAGTGGTAAATGCTTTACTGTTCCAAATTTTAAAAAAATGTGTTGCAAGAACCAAAACTGGAATATGTGTTTAATTTAAAATAAAAAACTTAATAAAAAAATAATGAGGAACACAATAAATAATGTGATGTCATATGGTCTCCAATTAAGTTTTTATCAAAGTAAATTAAGAAATAACTTCTTTTTTTATTTGCGTTTTCCATACTGTCCAACTTTTTCTGATTAGGGGTTGTACGTCCATTTGTCTGTTCAGTATAATGGCAGAATGCACAAGATTTTTGCTTATAGTACATGTTTAGAGGCAAAAATATTCAAAATAAATTGTGTTTTTAATGCCTTTATTTAATGTAACATATCCCTAATGTATTTAAATGAACATTGGACATTGAATTACTTTTAAATTTAGTTTAGTCATATATATATATATATACAGTTGAAGTCCAAATTTTAACCTCCTGAATTATTAGCGCCGCCCTGTTTATGGATAGAATTAGCAACATGCTGTTTTAAATGGTTTGATAATCTAATGTCAAATAACAGGACTTTACAACTTCCTTTTTCCATGTACTGTAGGTTGCACGTCTGCTTTCACAGCCTCTTAACTCTGTTGTTTGAGAAATGTATAAATGTCGGTTCAATAACAGGTTCCTGTAGTTTGTGATTCATGTGTGTATCTTTTCATTTTTATTTACATTCAAATTGCATTATTAGACCTTAAACAAGTGCTTAAACAAAATACTTAATCACATTTTGATGTAAAAAAAAAGACTGAGAAAGTGACTTTTACTGACATTTTATGAGCTTGACATAATAATAATATATTGTCTTGTTTAATGATGTGAACAAGAGTTTTTTAAAAAAGAAAGCTGCATACAGTAAATGCTAAACAAGTGGAATGGAACAAGTGTTTAAAAATAGAGGAACTTTCAAAATATTGGAACTTGTCATCTCTTTAATAGTGCTGAAGAACATTTCTTAGACCAGCTGATTTGAAAATGATGTCAGATAATAAGCACACAATTTATGATGAATTTGAGGATTTGCCATTAAGCTGAAGTTTGATGTTTTGTTTTAATTGTCATCTTGTAGGTGCCGAGATGAATGTACAAACAGTCTATGAAGACGTTGATGTAAGTTTCATAGCACACTGTTCCTCATTTATCAAAGAAACGTTTTTCATTCATTCATTCATTCATTCAATTTATTCTTTTCAACTTAGTCCCTTTAGAAATATTTTCATCATACTAAATAAATTTCATGTCATCTATTCTTTTTTTAAAACAAGTATTCAACATATTTGTCACCCTGGACCACAAACCCAGTTAGAACCGTCGATCATTAGCTTCCTATCGATGTATGATTGGTTTTAGGATATATTTCACTGACTATTTAAATAAATCTAAGGATTCACAAAATTTCAATCCTAAGAAAAGTTCTTTGCAGTGTACATTAATACTCAAAAATGGAGTTTGGATATACTTACAGTAGGAAATATCTTCACAAAATATCTTCCCGAAACATGATCTTTACTTAAAATTGTAAAGATTTATGGCATCAAAGAAAATTTATTATTTTGACCCATACATTCTATTTTTGGCCTTTGTATCTCCAGATCTACAGAAAGTAAAGTTCTGGTAACGAAAACAAAAAGAATCACTGTAAGTGTCTGTGCCAGCAGTGTGAAATTTTCTTTGGATTTTTGTCTGCAGGAGAACAAGAAGCCACAAAAGTCACCAGAGATGTTGGAACAAACTGAAAAACCTGTCACAGTTTATCATACTATTGGAGAAAAACCTGACCTTCCCATCAGAACCAACACCACACATAACAACAACACCGTTGATCAGGTAAAGATGTTCTGACCTCTAATCTGATTCAAAATTAAACAATGGTTTAGATTTGGAGTCACGAATACAGAACAGGTCACACCCACTCTCTCCTGACTGACCAGAGGAAAGTTTGAGTGGGAAATTTTCTTTGTTCTCCTCGCTGGTTAATCTCTCTGATGGGGTTGTCCAAAATGTACAGCTTAACTTTTAACTCACAGTATAAAACAATGTAAACCACCATAGGTTCTAGGTCATGGGTTGGGGGACCCCCGAGAGGGGTCTGGATGCAGACCTGGTGCAATCTGAGTTGCATCCGATGCTTTTTAATGCGCTCACCTAACCCCACCCCTAACTGTCACAGTGACTTCACTCTCCATTGAGTGCATTGTGTTTGACATTGCATAGCTGAGTGATGCAAACTCAGCTTGCATCATAAAGGCTGCATCCAGATACTGTTGGGATTACCTGAGGAACACAACAGAACCAAACATGATAGTTTTAGGAGTACATAAAACATAATTCATGCAGACCTGTCTTTGTAGCTGGGCATGAGAGGGGGCAGAAGGGTCCCTGTTAAACATCTCAGGAGGTAAGTTGTCACAGAGGGATCTTTAGCTTCAGACTCTTTGAAGCAAAGACTTGTTAATGTCATGCTAGCAGTAAGACATATCAACTTAATTCAATGCTTCACCTACAACCTTGGATGTTACAGATTAAATGTCTTAATTTAAATTAACATCAAGAAAGGGTTTGAGTGAATGGTATTCAAATGATAAACTTATTTTATTCAGAGTTTTTCAGTTGACAAGATGTCAATTATTTTCTTATTTTTTATTTCAGACTCCATCAATCACAGAAAACAGCAAGTCTGCTGGTCCAGCCACTATTTACTGCACCATTGAGAAGCAACCAGACCAGCCTAAACCTGAAACAGATAACACCATTTATGCTATGGTCAAAAAGCCATTACCTGGGTTTGAATCTCCAAAACTACACTAAAAGTGACCTTTTAAAAAAATCGGAACCATTACTGATCAAAATGACATTAGAAATATTATTATTATTATTATTATTATTATTATTATTATTATTATTATTATTATTATTATTATTATTATTATTATTATTATTATTATATTATACACACTTGTGAAATGAAGGTTTGTAAGTAATTATTAGTTGGCTATTGATAAAGCGAGGTATTCCCTTCATGGATGTGAAAACGTTCTGCAAGCATAAAGAGAATTGATGTGGAGAATAATTAAATAATATAAAATAATATAATATATTTATATATATAAATAATATAAAATAATATACTTATATATCTTAAATAATATATTTTTAATTAGACGCATTATTTTGTGTGCGCTGTATTTACGACCCAGAAGTGTAGCCAATAAACAATGCTTTAACATTAACATGTGCTTTTAGAAATTTAAAATATTTATATTTCATGTTGGCTATGTTTAGGATAGGGGATAGAAGAGCATAAAGTATATAAGTAAACATTCAGTCCTGTTAACTGAAACAGGCAGGCTATAAGAGGATGAATTCTTTTAAACAAGCAGAATTGTTTCTTTCTGCATGTTCGCTCTGCATGCGTGTGAAAGAGAAATGAACAGAGAAAAGTGAACAAAAGAGAAATATTATGCGACTCACTTTGATTGCAGATATGCCCATTTATTTAATTCATAATTATTTATTATTATTATATAAATTTAATAGTAATAATAATTATTAAATAATTATTTAATTCTGCCACTAATATCTATATAAAAGGGAACCTATTTTGAGTGCATAAGAGTGTTTTGCATGTAGTTGCAGAATAAATTTAACCTAGTGTGTCAAATATTTAACCTAGCCTATAATAAATGATAATTATTGATAAGGCAAGTTATACTGCAATCAGGTGATGTGCTCCATTGGCTCGATAACCTTAATAATATTTTAAAGTGTATGTATATCTTGCAGTGTGCACACATTTAAGATTTAAAGTAATAGCATCGCCATGATGACCAAAGAATTCAAAACATTCTTTTCAACCAGAACACAATTTTATAGGGCAGTATAAAGGCTAAAGAACTTAATTTTTATATTTGCTTAATTTTTGCAGCCTAGGGCTATACTTCTCACCATCTGTTGTATCTTTACCAAATTACCAAAATCCTGGCCAAATTTGCTGTCTGGCCTCTGTCCATCATGGCCTCCTAACCATGCCTATATCATAACTGGCTTCATCACTCTGTCTCCTCTCTACCAATCAGCTGGTGTGTGGTCTGGCGCAATATGGCAGACGTCATATCATCCAGGTGGATGCTGCACACTGGTGGTGGATGAGCATACCCCCCCCCCCCCAAATATGTAAAATGCTATGAGTGTCTAGAAAAGCACTATATCAATGTAAGGAATTTGTATTATTTTCTGAAATAGATTGTAAATATAAAAAAAATTGTAAAAGCATGTTTATTACTACGAAAACTAAAACAAACAAACAAAATTCTATTTTGTTGAACACAATCACATCATATCAAATAGGCAAGGTTACAGTACAAATACAGTATCGTCTTATTGTAAAAAGGCAAAGCTAAAAATTTGTGGTCAGCGGCCAAAAGCTGCTGGCGCACGTATACGTAGGTTAAGAATGTCGGCTGAGGAAACGTTTTGAAGTGGTGACAACTGTACATGTAACGGCGATACGTAATTTAATTCCTAAATAAATGTAACTGTAATTTGTTACAGTTACTGTGAAAATGTTAAAGATACAAATGGGGTTACATTTAAAAGTAAAAAATTTAAAATCTGGGATATTATGAATAATATTAATATGTTGCTTTGCCTGTTTTTGATATGCATGAGGCCTTCTGCTAAGGCCATTTATTAAAGCGGTGCTATTTTCCTATACTGTAACTACATTTCTCAGTAGCGTGGCTGTAGCGTCGCTACTTTCTAAATCAAATAGCTTTTCACACAAGCTGCATTTACTGATCTCTATTACTGAAGAGTTGTAAATATGTATACAATACAATGCTTATTCTCAAATATTTCACTTTACTATACATTACTATAGTATTATACAGTAAATGTGTAACACCTGGTTTTATTGGATTTTTTTGTTTTTGCTGTTATATACTATAATTTGTTTCTGTTTGGTACAGCACATTATTTGCAATAAATAATTAAACTGAACAATTCTGCCTCATATGTTTCATTGACGGTTTTATTGATCACCATATGATTGACTTAGATTTAAATAGCAAATGCCACAAAAATCCCCCTGCACAACTAACTAAGATTTTGATTTTGTAACAACAGTAAAGATTTTTCCTTGTTATAAGGTCTGGTTTTGTGGTGGCTGTACTTTAAATTTTGATTAATATCATCTTTATTCAGGTGATGAAAGATTTTAAAATTGTAACAGTAAACACAGAGCTACTGTAAGGTCACACCTGCTTGGTATAAATGATTGAACATGATGTAGTTGGAAATATGCATTAGCAACTAAAAAGTAATCCAGAAGTAATCAGATGTAATCAGTTACTTTACTTTTATAAAGTAATTGAAAATATACACTACTTGTTAAATTTTAAATAGGGTAATTTGTTATCTGTAATCTATTACATTTCCAAAGTAACCTCCCCAACACTATCCTTGAGTGTGAATCAGCTCAAAATATCCCACAAATAATGTTTTATAACTCTTTGAATCTGCCCAATTTAGTCTTTGATCCTAAGTGTGCAATTTTGGTGACTGTGGCTTTAAATTCAAATGAGATTGTGATCCTAGATGTCTTTTCAAAAGAGGGTGGAGCTACAAATGCCTATGTGGCATTTAGTCTTACATAAGCAACATAAGTCTTATTTTAGAGGCTGCATCCTCCGAAGTGTTTAAGAAGTGATGGTCTGTCACATTCTCACATCCTGCTAATCATATAACACATTGTAACTTGAAGGATGAAGACTTTCAAGGTGAGTCCTTCGAAGTCCACACAGGCCGAACGGAGCATTTTGAAATGAGACAATCTAGCAGGCCTGTAGCCTGCAAGATAGACTTATTTCTTAAAAAGTGGATCTTTTTGCAGTTATTCACTCAAATTTCTATTAATCTATGAGGTTCAAATACTGCATTTTAGAGACATTTTAAGCATGAATATTACTGCATTATTGTCGGGTTGTGATCATAACCACACATTTTGATACAACAACATTTTTTTTCTACAATTATTTCAAAGTGCTTACCATACTGATTTACCACAAAGGGTTTATTTAGAAATGTGTGTTTAAACTAATTTATTACAGTTTTTTAAATAATGTTATGAGATTAGAATTTAAAAGTATGAAAACAACTTATTTTTAAATTACAAATTTGTTATCATGCATCATTAATATGGAGTTAATAATATGCCAAAACAATCTGAATTTAAAAATACAATTTCAGAAATTTCTTTAATTTCAGATGTTCAATATTCAAGTTATGAAAGTCAAATTCAAGTTAAGAAATTCTAATTAAAAACATTTAAAAACATATTCAGTTTTATTAAAATACAATTGTTAATAATTCAAATTAACACAAATCAAATTCAGATTGTTTTGTTATATTATTAGCTCCATACATTAGTATAAACAATTAGGAATAGGTTAAAACTTATTAAAAACTAAAAGGTATATTCAAAAATGTAGCTTGTAGGTAAATAACAAACTGGCCAGCTCATTTCCTCAGTCAGAATTAGTAAATTTTACTAATTAAAAATGTTAATTTGTCCTAACGCCTTCTTTCAGTTATTTTTACAATTTATGATGGCATACTGTCAATAATAAGACAAATGAGTCTTATTATGAGAGGGGAGGGGAGGGGGGTCTTTCGAACCATATGAACCCCCCCTAGCTACGGGCCTGTCTTGCATGTATCTTGTTACCAGTTGTATTTTTCATTACTTTGAAAACTAATGATGCATCTGGAGGCTGCATTTGAAGGAGCCTTTGAAATCTTTTGAAATGAGACTGTCTTGGATGACACAGCACCCATGGAATACATCCTTCGGAGAATGCAGCCTCTGAAAGCAGACACAGTCATAGCGGCAAATTCAAAAACAAAACTAATGTCATATGCTAATGAGGGAGAGGTTGTCACTGATGGGCGGGGCTTTCCCCCTCTGATGACACAAAAGGAGAATGTCAATCAAAGTGTTTCTGCAGACTGCTTCATCAAGTGTGATTATAAAAAATAATACTTTTTAAATCATGTGTGTGTAAGGCTGGGGAAGGCGGAAGGTAAGGTGGAATATGAATGTAATTTATTGTTTATGATTAACAAAATATTTTAGTTATTGTAAGTTTGTCAATCAAATTTAAAGTTCCCCTTCGCACAAAAATGAAATTGACCAACTCAGCACTTTGCACTGATGAGCGTTGTTTAAAACTGGAGTTTGCAGCAGTTCTGAAAATGAAACCAAAACCGCTGGCCAGTGAACTATTCTGAATTGCTGAACAAGGACATAAGTAATAAAATAACAAAGGAGTATTACAAGAATAATATATTACACTGGTTTAAGTTTTTAGCATTACATGAAATTGGTAGTTTTATTGTAACGTAGGCTAGCCTAAAGTGTAGTACTCTTTTTTTTTTTAGGCAATTGTTTGGAGTTTTACATCTTAAAGGCTCTAACCAGTTACCTTCTTGCTGACAGGCGATTGTGCTACCCACTGTGCCACTGCGACGCCACTTTATGTTAACCATAGTTGATTAAACAAGTACATTATGATTCAATTTGGTTATATGGTTTAAAAATATTATTAAATAATATTCATTTGTCATTTTTTAGTAAATTGTAATTAAAGTTTAAATGACCTTTAAGGTTAATTTTATTCAACTTAATTTAATGAAATGAAGGCAACCATGCTCTTTTTATAGCGTGGTTTTGACAATGTTTAAACATGCACTGGGGTCTTTATCAGTGGGTGATGCTTAGAGAATATTGCTCACAGGAAGTGTGTGGTTTCTGCAGAGACAGAGTGAACAATGAAGTGGTAAAAAAAGACCTGAAGACATGACATGCAAGAGAAGAATAAAACTAAC